ATTTTATTTTTTCCAGATCCTCTTTTGTTGCCAGTTCAGGGAGTCCAGGTGGTTGAGTATCAGATTGTTCCATCTTATTTCCCTTTGGGGTTGCTTTAGCTGATCTGGAAGTCTGGTTTTGAGACTTGTTTACGTGTCTTCTCATTTTGACGGGGAGGGGGAGGTGTTGCTGTCGCCTGTGTGGCTTACCTTCTCTGTGCTGAGGGGGTAGAACGGTGGCCTGGATGCCTCCTCCTGGGTGCTGGGAGTGGCTCACCTCCTCTGTGCTGAGGGGGGAGGTTTGAGGGGCCAGAAGCCTCCTCAAGGCCTGAAACTTTGAAAAGTTTGTAGAGGTTTCAGTCCATAACCAGGTGGCTGCAAGGCATGATGGCTTGGCAGGCAGGCATCTTAGACCACCAATGTCTATTTCTTAATCCATATACTTCTTGGGAGGAGGGATGAGTTTAATCTCACCTAGCACCTGGTATAATCTGACTTTAAAATGCTATTGAAACAGTGAATTAGCGAATGATTCTCCTCTTCCTCCTTCTCCTTTTCCTCTTTATCCATGTCCTCCTTCTCTTCCTTCTTACCTGCCTGCTCTTCTCCTTTGATTGAACCCACTATGATTGCACTGTACTCCCCCTCCCCCTTGTTTTGAGAAAGGGTCTGGCTAAGTCTCTAAGTTGCCTAAGCTGGACTAAAACATGGGGTCCTCCTGCTTCCATCTCCCAGAGTGCTGGGGTTGCAGCCCTGCACCACTGTGCCTGGCTTGAGTTTCTTATTTGTACACTTTCAGAGCAGGTTTTGTGATTTTTTTTTTTTTAACCTTTAAGGGTTAAAAAGTACATAGCTACCTTATGACAGTTTTGTTGTCTGTCAGAAATTAAGTGCAGAATACTGGAAGATGTGCCCAAGTACAAATAAAAAGAGAGCTTTTAATATTTTGGATGTGGGATTCCAAAAAACAATTATTTTTAGGGAAAATTTATAATTATTATTTTAAATCATAGGCTATAGTATCTTTAAAATAATTTTTAATTTTGAAATATGGTAAGTGGTATCCAAATTTAATTTCTTTCAGTTTATGATTATCTTTGTGTGATTTTCTGAGTAAGAGAATATGCTGCTGCTACTTAAACAATTTACAGTGGAATGCAAAGGTTCTGTTAGTGTATTAAAAATATGGAAGGCGTTACATTCGTATGAAACATCAATAGAGCTTAAAAAAGATCATGATGAACTACTTATAGGGAAAACTAAAAAATTGGAAAATAAGGTTAGAACACTACAGAAGGAACTAACAGAAACAAAAGAAGTGAAATCACAGTTAGAACATGAGAAACTACATCGAGAAGGTGAACTTGGCAATTTACGATTTGTCTTACAACCAGAAGAGGCGAAGAGAAGAAATGTTGATCAGTTTTATGAAAAAATTAAAGAACAGTTAAGAAAAAAAGAAGAGCAATATTATCAAGTAGTTGAAGCAAAACACCAACTTGAAATTTCTCTTGAATTGAAGACTGTAAGAATTAAATTGAATCTGGTAAATTAAAAAAATAAAAATAATACATGGAGAATCATTTTCCTGTATTTCAAAAATTTTTGATATTCTTTTGTGGGGGGAGTGTTGTTTTTTCTTTGTGGTGCTTGTATCAGCCTGGGGTTCCTCTAATGCTCTACTACTTAGCTACATTCTCAGCCCTTGATGTTCTGTTTTGATTTCCATAATCAGTGACTTTAAGGAAAGAAAAATCCTAGTATCTCTTTTAAGAATTGTATTATCAGCAACTACTTATTTACTTTTAGATTAAGTTAAAAGTTTATGTTAACAATAGGGAAGAATTTTATACAACCTAGAGTTTCTTACTTTGTGTTTTTCTTTTGTGGTAGCATGGATTTAACCAAGGGCCTCTCATGCTACCCAAATGCTCTCTTAGGTATTTCTTTTTAGAATTTAAAATCAGCTAAAAAAGATAAATTGTGGTTTATCTAGAAGAACAGACAAAAGATGTCTTCACATTTTATTTTACTATTTAAGTGCGTTAAAAAGCCAGTGATGTAGTTTTTAAAAACTGTATTTCCTCAGAATGTGATATATAGTTTAACTCAAATACACTATTTTAGTCATTTATGTCATGGACTTTCCTGTTTCAGAATCCTGTCCAAAAGATTCCCGACTCACATGAGATAACACTGAAGCATGGCACTAAAACAGTAAGTTTTAAAAACTTGTTTCTTTTCTTGTGATAATAGGGCTTTGATGGAAAATTGAACTAATGAGATACTTTAAAAATTTTATTTATTTTTATTTTTTGAGATACTTTTTAAGGTTAATTACAAAATCAACTGATGTCATAATAATTTTAAACATTAAAAAGAGATTTAATTTTTATGTTTAATGAAAATAGCCATTATCTTTTATGTACAGTGGGAATACACTGTCAGTGTTATTGTTGGCTTTTTGAAAACCTCTCTTTAATATAGGAACATTACAAATGAAGAGAAATGAAACTCAAATATAGTTTTGTTTTTAAGAGAGTAGTTTTTAAATTTCTCATTACTCTTAGCTCTATTTCTGTACTGTATTCATAAAAGGTACAAATTTCTTCACTTTATGAATGAATGTTGAGAAAAGAAATGAATCTTGTGTGGTGATTGTATTGCTTTAAGATTGTATTACTGGGCCAGGGATTTTGCTCAGTGGTTTCACCGCCTGCCGCGTAAGCGCAAGGACCCAAGTTTGATCCCCGGTACCAAAAAAAAAAAAAAAAGATTATATTACTAAGCTTATAAGGTATATTTTTTTAAATTTTAGAATCTTTATTGTTTACTCTAACAAAGCCCTCTTCCTTCTTCATTAAACCTTCTTTTATACCTTTAGACAAAAGAAACTATGATTTGAGTCTCCCATTCTGCCATGTGATTTGTGAAAATATCCACATATGGCTGCTTATTTCCTCCCTTGACAGTTAACTTGTTTACAGAGGCCATCCTGAGTCTGTGTAATCAGATCCAGAATGATGCAGTGTGTTTGATCCAAAATGATGGGGAAGTTAGCTCTGGGTCCTACCTCCCCAGACTAAAGGCCCTTTGGGTTGGTCTCAATATAAGCAAAGATAACTAAAGCTTCTCCTTACATGTAATATACACCAAGCGCATTCCCTCTTTATTTAATTTCTTTCTCTCACATACTCATTATTCAATTTCTCATCTGAATTCAATTTCCTTATTGATCTTTCCTTACTTTTCCCAGTAGGGGTCTTCTTGGTATATGATCTTCTGAAACCATATTCCCAGTCTTCCATAGGGTATATTTTTATATTCTGTTTACTTATGTTACTTAAGGATAAACAATATAAAATATTTAAAATAGAAGATGAAATCATTATATCTTACTGGAAAAATCATTAAAAAAGTGGTAGTTTGAATGAATGAAATGTGCATATGAAATGAAAGAATAAAATTATATTACTTTCCCTTTTCAACAAAAGTCCCTTTGTCTAAATCTCTCATGTAAGGATAGATATAAGGCATATATTCCATAATGAGAAAGAAAACATTGAGGTAGACCTAGAAATGACACAAATGGTAAGACTGATGTATAGGGATCTAAAAACAATATAATTCAACAAAATATTTTCTTTTGAAAATATTTTCATGAAAGTATTTCTCAAATATAATGGGTTTACTGTTTTTGGGGGTTTTTTTGGTACCGGGGATTGAACTCAGGACCTTGTGCTTGTGAGGCAGGCAGTGGAACCACTGAGCTAAATCCCTGACCTTTTTTTTTTTTCCATACCGGGGATTGAACTTGGACCTTGTGCTTGTGAGGCAGGCAGTGGAACCACTGAGCTAAATCCCTGACCTTTTTTTTTTTTCCATACCGGGGATTGAACTTGGACCTTGTGCTTGTGAGGCAGTTGGCACTGTTGTTTTAAATGGAATCAGGGAGGGAGGGTGTGAGGGAGACAGCATGAGGTCAGTGGTGGGCTTCTTGTCCCAGTGGGGCTTGCATGGGTACACCCTCCTCAGGACTTTCAGAGGAGACACTGGCTGGGCTGCAGAAACCTCTAAAAGAAGGACCTCCTTGGCCACTTTGGCTGTGTCAATGCCATTGAATTTTCTAACAATGGAGGCCAGTGGCTGGTCTCAGGAGGAGACCATACTCTTAAATGAAATAAATAGGACACAAATGTGTATATACCGAATAGTTTCTGTTGTGAGAAACAATAGATAATGTGAAATAGGATGAAAAGGTCTAAAGGGGAGAAAGAAGTGGGAGGAGTGGGGGAAAGGAAAGAAGGGAAAGGAAAAAATATGAGAAAACGAAAAAATAGAAACAAAGTCTGTGTAAATAGGGAGGGGTTGAAGGGCGGGCAGGGGAATAGGGGAAAAAAAAAAAAAGAAAGAAATGATAAATGTAAGGGGCCAGGGGTTTAGCTCAGTGGTTCTGCAGCCTGCCCTGCAAGCTCAAGGACCAGAGTTTGATCCCTGGTAACCAAAAAAAAAAAAAGCAACAAAAAAAAGAAATGAAGAACCAAGATATATCACATAAAGGTACAAATCCCTAATGATGAATGTCATCATATTGTATACCAAAAATGCACCAATAAACTTAATGAAAATAAAAAGAATTTGTCATTTCATTTATCTAATTGGTCGATATACAGTATAAGAAATTTCTTATAATCTTTTAAATTTCAATAAGGTCAGGAGTGAGTCCTCTTTTTGTTCCTGACATGAGTAAGTCTTTCTTATTTGCTTAGCTATACTAAATAAAAGTTTCTCAATTTTGTTGAAAATTTTAAAAGACCAACTTTTGGTCTTGTTAATTTTTTGTTGTTGTTTAAAAAATTATTTCACTTTTTTACTCTGTTCTACATAAATAGTTTCCTTCTGCTTGCTTTGGGTTTTGGAAGATTTTAAAGACTGAAAGTTATTGATTTGAGGGTTTTTTTTTTCTTTTTTGATATAGGTGCTCATGCTCATACATTTTTCTCTACTTATATACATTGCCTCAGTTTTAATTTACTTCAATAGTAAAAAATGGAAATAGTTAAAATGGATGCTTTTGGGAATCCCACAAGAAAAACCTGAAATATTAATAAGTGCAAATTCAATAAGGAGTTCTTTCAGAGTTTGGGTTAAAAACATTAGAAGATTAATGCTTTGTAGTGAGTCCAAAGATTCCTAGGACTTCCTATGTAAGCAAAACCAGAACTGTGGTTTTGTAACCACTTAAAATTTTAGAAATATTTAAAACATTTTATAAAGAATTTATAATTACAGGAGAAACTCAGGTGTACTTGAAATACTTATATAGTTAATGTACTATGAGACCAATTAAATTATCTAATTATGGACTACGGTCTAAAGCTTATTGAAAGAAGGAAAATATAAAAACACTTTCAAGGGCTGGGGCTTTAGCTCAGTAGTTTCTCTGCCTGCCTCACAAGGTCCTGAGTTCGATCCCCCGTACCAAAAAAAACCCCACTTTCAATATAAAGGTCAGTATTGAAATTATGCTCTTTCTCAGGAACTGGAAACTTATTTTTGCGTGATCTGATATTAAAAAAAAGTTTAAAATATTTTATTTCTTGGTCAAAAGTAATTATAGAATATTTTGATACTAGATTTCATTCATTTATGTAAGTTAAGATATTCGTTCACTTCTGAACAACTTTTTGTTTTAGGGCAACATTTATATTATACAGTTCCTTATTTTCTGGTTAAAATGCACCTGAGAATTAACTAGACTTCCTGTGTTCTTCAACTCTTGAGAACATAGAAGTGAGAATTGTGGTTTAGCTAATCTTTGGAAGGACTTTCATTCTCTAACTAGGGGAGAGTATTTTTTCCTCCCTAAGCTCTGTTTTTTGTCATATTCATTGCCTTTCATACCTTTTTCATGAATAATGAATATAAGCAATAGTAGACACCCCGAAACTTCAGAATGCTGACACTGAAAACATTGTTTTGTCACTTTGCTGTAGAACTTGCCGTGTCTTTTCTGCCCTTAAAAGAACAGTCAACTTAGAGATTTATTCTGTTGTTCTTTCTTGGGTAGAGAAGAATTATCTTATATTGGTCAGACTGCATTGATATTTGTGTTATATAAGATTTAAAAATTTTTAGTCCTCTTTCCTTGAAACATTTACTAGAGTTTCTATTTTGTGATAGGCACTGTGCTGACCAAGACATGGTCTATGACTAGAGCTTACACTCTTGAGGAGAGGACAGGCACTGAAGACAGGAGCCACAAATGAATTTACAGTTTCAAATTGTGTTGAGTGGATCGAACACTGTTGAGATTAGCCTATCAAGAGAAAGGACACTTCTTTAATTGTAATGGGAGAGAAGGAGGGCAGCATAATGAGCATGGAGGCAAATGAGTTTGTTAGTGGTGACAGCAGAAGTCACTTAATTTTCTAAACTGTTTTGTTTTGGTTTTTTTGGTACTGGGGATTGAACTCGGGTCCTTGCGCTTGCGCAGCAGGCGGCGAAACCACTGAGCTAAATCCCAGGCCCAGTGGGTTTGTTTTTTTGTTTTTGGTACCGGGGATCGAACTTGGGTCCTTGCCCTTGCGCAACAGGCAGTGAAACCACTGAGCTAAATCCCCGGACCTTTTCATTTGTTTTTATTTTTTATTGTTTTTTATTTAAAGAGATTGTTCAGTCATAAAAAAAGACTTGTTCTCATTTGTATGTTTTAATACCTTTAGAGTCCATATCTAATTTTAACATAATAAGTTATTATTTATATATAATTCCTTTACATTCTGTAATCAGTGTTTGCAGGTCTTGATTAAGATGAGCTTAATTTATTTTGTCACTGTAATTATAGTAATTATAATAATTACATTTCATGTCTGGTTGATTTATGGACATTTTGTTTATATAAAACTTTGATCTTTTAACTGTCTCGTAAGTATGATAATCACACTAAAAAATGCCTAATGCAGTTCTTTCTTTCTGAGAGGGCAGTAGGTCTGGGGACTTCCTGCTTTGACAGAAGGTTAAATGTAGCTCAGAAATAGTAAGTTACACATTGGGAATGCATATGTAAATTGGACCTATGAACATTCACAAGGAAAGCAAATATTTTATGGATACTTATAAGTGCTATTACAATCAGTTATAAATTGAGCTTTACATATGTTTAAAGTGAATATACTTGAGTCATTCAGCTATATGCATAAGAAGTTTTACTTTGTCTTATTTTGTTAAGTAGATTTCAAAAAATACTCATTGGCGTTGCTTTATTTATTTATTCATTTATCTACGTATGCTGAGAATTGAATGCAAGGCCTTCTATATGGTAGGCCAAAACTCTACCACTCAGCTATACCCCACTAGCCCATTTTGGTGATTTTTGATTCATTTGATCTGTTTCTTTTTTTTTTCCCCCTTCTATGTTATTCATTCAGTTGTGGTTTAATTATCTTAAAAAGCTTGCTCAATATTGTGTATTAGGAAAGCTTAATTATTTGTAAGATTAGTCCTCTTTCTTTCCTCGAAATATTTACTAGTTTCTACTTTCTATACTTACTAAAGCAGTGTAGTTTATCATATAAAATTATAGTGATAGCTGTTCTGAGTACATGGTTGATAAGATGGGATAAAATATCAATTTAAAAACATTTAAAATATTAAATTAATTTAAAAATATTTAAAAATTTAGCCTAAAATATTTTTTATTTCAAAAGAAATAATACTCATATTAACCCAATCAAATTATATAGAAGCTGCTGACCATTCCTACTTTTTTTTTGGTACCAGGGATCGAACTCCTGACCTTGTGCTTGTGGGGGCAGGGGGCAGAACCACTGAGCTAAATCCCTGGCCCTATTCCTACTTTTCAGAAGAAAAAACAGTTGATACTCTGTGCGTCTAGTGCCTTTAGGTTAGGGGATGGGGTTAAGAAGTGGAAATGAGGTTAATAACAGACTGTAAGTTGTTTGTCTCCAGTTCTTTCTTTTTTTTTTTTTTTTAACAGGTGTCTGCTCTGGGTCTAGATCCCTCAGGTGCCCGTTTGGTGACTGGGGGATATGACTACGATGTTAAGTTTTGGGATTTTGCTGGAATGGATGCGTCTTTCAAGGCTTTTCGATCGCTGCAGCCCTGTGAGTGGTATGTATTCACTTACTTAATATCTTCATATTTGGAGACAGTACTATTGTTATTTGAATTCTATCTATCATTATTTGTATCAAAATTTAGTTTCATTAACCTATGTTTTAAAGGCATTTTCTGTCGTGTATTTTTTAAAAAAATGTTTCTTTAGAAACTGTTCCTTGCTTCATTTATTTTAAAACCCTCTGTGCTGTGTATGTGTATGTGTGTGTGTATATTACATTCTTGTGTATGATGTATGATGAGTCAGTATGCAAGTAGTGACCCATGCTACACTGTCCAAATATGGTCAGCTAACATTGTATCAGCTAACTAGGACTTGACACGTGGCTACTACTTGTCATGCCCTTATTTCTATATTTGACCATATCTGGTCTAGTATATTGATCTTTTATAGTACTACTTAACTTGTTTATCTCTTTTTTGGTATGGTATAGAGAAGCCCAAAGGCTTGATCATACCGCATATTGAATTGCATCAAGTGGCATATACTGTCAAGTTGTTCCATTATTTAGTGATTAGAAATTAAGATAGATTCCTAAATTAAGTTGGTTTCATATAATTTTTCCAGTGTAATATGAGTACTTTATACTTAGGCAAGCACTTTGTAGGGAAATACCTTGGTTACATGTAAATATCCAGATATTTGTCATTCTTTCATTTAATATGTTTATCACTCATTGTCGATTCCTACCTGATGAATCATTTATTAAGAGTTACAAATTGCTGATTTTCTGATTTGGTTATTGTATTTACATTTATTTATTCCTCTAAAAGAAGAGCTTTTTTTATTAACTGATATTAATACAGAAATAACCCTTAAATACAGTTCCTACTGGGAAGGAAAGATAAATACTTAGTTGTTTCATTTTGATTACCTGTTTTCAGCTTAAGTTTTCTTGGTGATAAATGAGTTGTTGCTCTTACTGGTTGTGATGCTTTTTCTTTCCTTTCTTGGCTCTCTTTTTTCAGTGTCAGTGTTTATCATAATTTTAGTTTTCATGTGTTTCAGTCAACTGCAATCATTATTCTTTTTTTGATATTTAAATTGTCTCAGATTTGACTAGTGGCAGTCCCTACTTGGTGTATAATTTTGACATGACCTTATTTGCTTTTGAAAGCTTACTTAGTTTTTGTACAGCATGGGGTAGGCTTCCTGGTAGATTTCTTTCCAAGTCCCAGAATTAGCACTTTCCTAAGGAGCTCTCTTTTTGGGGGAATGGTATTTACAAATCAAATTTGGACGATAGGGTGCTCATTGACATTGAGGTATCATTGCTTCTTGACTTTCTCAGTGGAAAGAAGTAGAAAATGTAGATATATATGTATATGCATGCCTTCACCTGTATCTCTGTGTTGAAATATCAAGGCCATACTGACAATTTCTTTTTTTTTTTTTTGGTACCAGGGATCAAACTTGGGTCCTTGTGCTTGCGCAGCAGGTGGTGAAACCACTGAGCTAAATCCCTAGCCAATTTCTATTTCAAGACTTTGGTAAACTTGAAATTTTAGAATATTTTTATTTATAGAAAAGCTACAAACAGTAGATCACTAGCTAGAGTTTTTCAGTTATAAGAGCCACTTCAGAGATTTCTTTTAGGAAAACAGTCACCATTAGCAGCACATTTTAGTGACACAGAATGGACCGCAAAAGTTTCCTACTTGTATAACTTTTTCAACCTGCTTAACGCACTCAGTCTGTCACTTCAGGGGATAATGACAGCTGTATTCAAGTTGGCAGGCAAAGTGGCTGCATTCAGAGCTAAACTTGAATTATAGAGATGAAGAGTGAACATTGGGATTTTTGACCTATTTCAAACATTATCAGAGATTTTGAAAGGGGCTGAGCCAGAGCCTTTTTTTCTCCCAGCTAGTCCAGCATCACTTATATCAGCCTTCAAACAGTTTGATCATTATTGCCCAACCACAAAAAAACCTCTGAACTGGGAAGAAATGGATGCACGACCCGTTTATGAATAAGCCCCATGAATCAAATTTGTTCATGCTAGAAGAGAATCAACTGCTTAAGACGGCAAATGGTGATAGCCTTAAAAGTATGTTTTAGACAGTTTCAAGTTTCCATATGTTGTGGATTAAAACCTAAGACAGAACATCCTGAGTTTGCCACAAAAACATTGAAAAGCCTGCTGCCATTTCCATCATCCTATCTTTGTGAAGCAGAGTTTTCTGCAGTGACAGCAACCAAAACAAGAGTAGACTGAACATAAGCAACATACTTCGGGTGTCACTGTTTCCCATCCACCCCCAGATGGGACTGTATAGTTTGAGGAAAATAAGCTCAGGGTTCCCATTGATTCTGCTTTATGGTGAGTTGTGTAATTTTTTTTATTATATATTACAATGTAATAGAAATAAAGTATGCAATAAATGTAATGCTCTTGAATTATCTTGAACCTCCTTATCCCCTTGTCCTAACCATGGAAAAATTATTTTCCATGAACCTGGTCCCTGGTGCCAAGAAGGTTGGGGACAACTGGCATACTGTATGTATGTCTTTAATTGTTCTCTGTCTGTCTGCATCTGTATTTAGCTAAACAACATGATTTATACTGATCTCTTTAATTCTAATCCAGTACCTCATTCATTCCTTCTGACCATCTTTTTCTTTCTTTTTTTCTTGTTTCACCTTCCCTCTTTTCTTCATCTTCACTTTCCAAAAGTGAGAAACTTTGTCTCCGCTATCTATTTCCTTTTACATTCAACCTGGGATTAAGTAATTCAGAGGTCAACCCTTGATGTCTAGTGACCAAGCAATATGTCCAATAGAACTTTCTGTGCTGATGGAGATATTCTGTATCTTCACTACTCAATATAGTTGTCTATAGTACAGATGGCCTTTGAATACTAATCCCAAGAAACTATTTTTTTGTTTTTTTGGTTTTTTTGGTACTGGGGATTGAACTCGGGTCCTTCCGCTTGAGAGGCAGGTCACGGAACCACTGAGCTAAATCCCTGGCCCCAAGGAACTGAATTTTTAAAAATTTAATTTTAATTAAAACTTAAATAACTACATGTGGCTGAGTAGCTACTGTATTAGTATATATCTTGAACCTATCTTTAAGAGGCCAGATCTATCACACACAATCTACTATAGTAACGAGGTGCTTTCTCTGGTGTGAGAAACTGAAATGGTAAATAAGGAACAAAATGTATAATAATAGATATTGTGAAATAGGAAGGAAATGTTCAAATGAGAAAGGGGACTTTGGAGGGGGAAAGAGGAAAGGATGGAAAGGAAAAGAAAATAGAAGGGAAAAACTGGAAACAAAGCTTTTGTAAATAAGGAAAGCAAAAGGGGTTGAAGGAAAGGGAGGGGAATGGCAAAAGAAGAATCAAGGTATGTCATGTACAGGTACAAATTTCCTATGATGAATGTTATCTCTAAAATTTACCAATAAAATTTTTAAAAAGATCAAAAGCAGAAAAACTACCACTAAAAATCCACTGGTTTTTTTTTTTTTTGGTACCAGGGATCAAACTTGGTACCTTGTGCTTGCAAGGCAGGTGGCAGCACCACTGAGCTAAATCCCCAGCCCAAAAATCAACTAAGTTTAATATATATTTTAAAATAAAAAGTAAGTTATAAAAATATGTGTGCATATATATTTTTTCATTAAATTTTCTTGTTACAATTTGTTGGATCATTATTTCACCTTCTGATTTCAGTACACAAAATATTAATTTTCATTCTTTGTTTTGTTCCAATTAAAATTTTAATGAATGTGCAGTAAATTCTTATTCACTTAAAACCTGTTAAATATGGTACTCAGACTTTGTTCGACCATTAGAAGCCATTTTCTGGGCATGGTGGTGCACACCTGTAATTCCAGCACTGGGAAGGCTGAGGCAGATTGACTTTAGCAAACTTATATATAGTCCTAGACAGAAATTTTCTGTGGATTTAGCTTGAGTTGATAAATTGTCTTCTATCTTGCTAACTTTAGTATGTTAAACAATAGGTGATATTTCTTGATTTTGCATTAGAAATATGTTCTCAAATTTAAAATCTAAAATATTGCTGGGGATTTAGCTCAGTGGTTTTGCTGCCTGCTGCGCAAGCACAAGGACCCGAGTTCGATCCCTGGTACCAAAAAAAAAATTCTAAAATATTGAAGTAAAATATTGAATGCAAATTTATCAATTTGCATTAGTATTATAAGTAAACTAGAAATAATTTAAAGCATACAAAGGGATATGTGAAGATTATATGCCAAAACTGTGCTGTTTATATAAGGGGCTAGGACACGGGCAGGTTTTAGTAACCATCTGCAGGTGGTGCTGGAGTAAACTGGATATTGAAGAAGATAATATGCAAATCAAAACTATTTTCTCTAATCATTATTCTTTCCTTTCCAAGAATATAGTATTCATATTTGACATGGTACGTGAGGTTTTTGAGTGGGTACAGAGTATCAGAAAAGATGTAAGAACATTTCTTTTGAGAATGTTGGTTAGTAATAATTAAAATATATGCCAAACTAACTTTACTTGTAGTGAATTTAAGATAGCATTGCATTTGGCTCTCAAGATTTTATACCTCTCAAATTATTTGAGACCTTGGAAATACAGAATAATACTAGTAACTACGTATTTCAGGTACTGTGCTAGGTGCTTTAATGTATATTAATTTTTAACCCTTAACCCCAGTCCTATAAATTAAGTATTCTCCTGTTTTTTCAGTGGGGGAAACCAAGACTCAGCAAAGTTATACGACTAGTGTGTGAACTCTGGCTCAAGAGCACTTCTGTGTAGTACTGCCATCTCATCTCATCAACGAATTTTCTATAAAACGGAGAGGGAATCTAGTGAAGTTGAAAGGCTTGCTCTTCATCACACAGCTAGTTAGCAGAGAGAGGATTTGGATCCCCAGACTCCTGACTCACATTGCAGTATGCTTTTCACTACAGCAGGACACCTTGGCTCCCGAGCCCCAAGTGACAGCCCCAAATAGCTGTATTTATCTGTCTTGCATGTCC